CTTTTAGAAGGTCAGTATTATTTAAGGTTATTGAAAGCGAGTAAACCTGTTCCACCTTTATGAGGAAAACATTGCTGTGGAGTTAGCAGAGCCACATGGTTATAATGAATAATGAATGTATGATATTTTGTGTAGTGTATAGCTCAGCCTGAGAAAGAGAAAAGAATGGAAGTCTCTTTTCTTTCTGCCTGGGTGTTCAAAGGAAGGAAAATCAAAGCTGTTATACCAGAGCTATATATCAGCTAACATATTTTAGGAATTGTGGAATGATCATAATTACAAAAAAGTCCTCCGGAGAGAAATTATGACTCATAGTTTATGTTCTCTTTAGTGTTGCTATGGAAAAAGAGGTTAGTGCCAATGGTCATACAGCAATATTAATCTCTGATCTGAAAGAAAAATAAATAACAATCTCTAGCTTAACCCAAAGCAGATTTATTCTTGGTTACTGCAGCACACCCCATTAAAGGGGATAACCATGTAAGAAAAATTAAAGATGACGTTGATTATCAGTTCTCAACACGCAATTAGAGTTCCTTATTTGAATTAGTGCGCACTTCAGACTCCTGCAAATGACTTGGTGGAGTGAGAGGAAGGGAAAAAAGGCATTTTGATCATAAGGAGGGCAGGAAAGATCAGCCACAACTGGCAGCTGCAAGTATGCTGATTAAAATTTCTTTATGCATCCAGTTAGACTCAGCCTGGGGTGAATGCCAGTTCAAATGCAGAGCCTGAAACAAACCCCTGGCAACGGGCCGTTTAAAGTGGTGGAAAGTGTCTATGAGCCTTTTTCCATTTATTTGGGAAAGAAAGGGCCGTGAGTCAGAGCACGGCAAATACTTTCGTGTGGAGTCAGCACCCTCCGGGCTGCTCTGGCACTTGTTTCCTGCCAGTTGTTTGGTTGCCTAGGCAAAACCCTGACCAGCACCGGGGCCAAACAGCTGCCAGCTTGCCTTGCTTTGCTAAGGGTGAATCTTCTTCTTTGCCTGCAGGAAGACTATCTGACACCTTCCTCTTGACACCCAGAGTGAGCATGTGCGTCTTAGCGGGTCGTAGGAAAACTTTTTCACCTGCATACATGACTTTGTTTTCAGGAGTTGGAGCTACACTTACTTGCTCTGTTGTATACAGTTACTGACAGCAAAGACCTTGCAGTCAGTACTTAGCTTGAAATTGTGCTCACTGTGCACCCTCCAAAGCAGGCTATAGCCTTCCTTTCTGCCACACTGCTGCATCTGCCGTGCTGATGGCAGTAAAACTTTTTGTTCTGTCGATGAGCTAAGCAGATTGGATTGGGGAGATACACAGATCTCATGTCCAGCATCTATGCACACAGCTCTTACTGATGGTCACAGGAGTTGTACATGTGGCCCAAACCCATTGTATGGCTCAGAGGGTCCTTTGAGCCAGCTGAAGGCTTTTCATTGATTTTCAGGGTTGGCCTGGCCCCTTGTGAACAGTTTGGCCTCTAACAATTTGCCATTAGTTCACTAAGTCTTCTGAGCTTCCCTCTTCTTAAGTGTGTGGCTATCAGTCATCAGTCACATAGCTGTTTGGCATTATGGCCTGTGACAACAAAGGGTTTTCCTTGCATCAGTGGTAAAAGGCTATCAGGTATATTTCACCTTCTGATCCTTCCCTTTCTTCCGTCTGTTAAAGAGACAGAACATGCTTAGTCAGGTCTGTCATAGACAGCTTTCACTAAACTCTTATTTGACAGTGAAATGGTCCAGAAAACCCATATCTGTGCCTTTTCACAGAGGAGCTGGCTCGTGGATTAGCGCATGGGAGTCAACAGGATGCTCTTTGCTCTTTCCCCTAAAAGGGGACAGAAATGTCAGCTAGTTTTGTGTCATTGAAAATGGAAGTATCAGCAGCTGCTGAGTGCTGCTAGTTTAAATATTTATACCATAAGGACTTTGTCACACCCCTTTTCTTTGTGCTAAACTCCCGCTGATTTCAGTGAAGGTCAGACTGAATCTGTGCAGCAACTACCAGGTCAGGTCTTCCAAGGAACAATGGTACAAGTGGAGCTCACTGTTACTGTGTCAGGAAGGGTAAACAAGCAGTTTATTTTAACAAGTAATTATGTAGACAAACCTGTCAGCACAATCATGGAATACCCACGCATATGCTTGACATCTGCCAGCCTGACAAGTTCCAGGCACGTACTTGAGATACTTGAAAGCATATAGTGCTGCTGGTCCCACAGTCTGTCTCCTTCCCAAAACAGCAAGTTTTGCAGAGTAGTGTTTTAAGTCAGGACTTGATAATGGAAGGCAAGGGAAAGAAACAGCTGGGGGGAACATCTCAGGATCCTGAGCTTGCTTCCTCCTCTGGTTTATAAGATAGTACAAAAGCAGACATTCATGAGTTGAGTAAACATTTTTCTCCCTTGCAAAGCATACTTTCTTAGGTTTGTTAGGGTTGTAGACCTACCTGTCCCCAGAAATGTGCAACTGTGATGGAGAAAACGTTTAATTCTAGTCCTGCAGCTGATGGCTGCATGTGTGCTGTATTCTGAAGTGGGTATTTGAGTTAACTCTCACAGATGCTCAGTGTCTGCTTTTCCAGTGGCTTTACTGGCTAGCATTGTAATGCTGTTAGGAACACTATGTGTGGGATTCATTTCAGCATCTCTGAAACTGGATAAAGCATAGCCAGGGGTATTGTTTGAATTAAAGCTTAGCAGGACAAACAAACTGGGCATATCCAAAAGCAAAATGCAAACATGATGCTGGGGTTCCTGGTTAGTGTGTGGTGGCTGCAGGAAGCTGACAGCTGCTACATAAAGGTTAAACGTGTGTTCTTTGGTCTGTCAGTAAAATTAAGCCTGCTAAAGACTATGTGGCACTCTAGAAGACATGAATTTATCTGTGTGCATAAACAGAATACAGACTTCAATGTAAACATGCTTTCAGGACTATTTAAAGTATTAGGAGGATGCTACAGTCCAATAAAAACATGCAGATGAAACTAGTGGGCTTGGGTAAGTGCCTGACTCTATTCAGAAGGACTAGAAATCTGACAAGTGTCTGGAAAGCAAAGCACTGGTGTTTGTGTTACTAAATAACAGCAGAGGATGAGAAAGAAAATGGTATAGGTACAACAGGGACATGAACTGAAGTAATAAATGCTTGACCTTTACATTTCATCTTTGCCAGCTTCTCAGACTGCTTCTCCCAAAGACTGACATGGCTGTGTTTTATATTATGCTTTTATTTGTCATATTCGTAGTTAGTTACAAGTAAAAATTATTGAAATCCATTGTAGTTAACACAAAATAAAAATATAGCTGCACGAGTTATGCCATGATTTTTCTTAGAAACAGTATCTCCTCTATGATACTATACACTTAAGAGATTAACTCTTAATAGTCCTCGCCTACACTAAGCTCTTACTGATTAACTTCCAGTGTGATTTACTGGTAACACATATTACCCCTGTGGAGTAATACCTATTAATTATTTCATAACGGTATTTCTGCTGTAGCTTTTAGTTCCCCTGTAATTCGTGATTCTAGATACAAGTTGAAGGAGCAACCTTTTAGTGCAATGTTAAGTATCAGTAGAATTTTATAGATATAAAAAACCACAAATAACCCACTGCATAAACAACTAAGGATGTAAGGTAACTGTTGTGGGCGTTGTACTTCCCTTTCCTCCCTTCCCCCTTAGCTTTGTTAAGTGACAGGAATGAACATTCATAGTGAACAACCCACCTTGTAACCTCTCATTTTCAATTAATCTTGAAAAATTACAGGCTAGCAATTTTGAGAGCAGGTAGGTGACTTGGATGAAAGTTATCAGCAGAGAATCTAATCCTGTGGCTTTGCAGACTCATACTTATATAAACTCATCCGTGCCATGAAGTTCAATCCGTAACATATTGTTCCCTTTAGACATGTCTGAAAGAGTATTTCACCTTTTTGAAAAAAATTGTCCTTACATCCCTGTAATTATCTAACTCTTCTGTGTAGATATAGCTCTATATATGAAATAATTTGTAAAAAGATAAATTATACTATTTTCAAAATACTCTGAAATACAAAGTTGTGCAGGTGCAAAGTTTGATAGTATATTGCTATAAAGACTAGGAATTAATTAGTGTTATCTGAGTATATATACTTTAAGCTGGGAGTATAGATTTAATATTGTGGGGGGGTTATTTTTCTTTTTTTTTTTAAACATTTCATAGTCTGAAGAAAGTACGAAATGCTATCTTCATGTTTCTATCAAACTCGTATTTTCTCTTTTCAATTTCTGAACCCTTAAAGGTACAGTAGCTGATCACACATTCATGCTTGTCATTAATATATTTCCATAACTCTGTTAGATTGAAAAATTCATTTTTGTTTCCACCTTTCACTTTTTTCCATGTGAATAGCAAGAGACTACCGGCAAAAATCTTTCCCCTACTGAAATGGATGGAACCAAGTTTTAACTTCGCCCTCTAAGTACTCTGGACTTTTACTTCTACAGTGCCATGGAACAAAGCCCCAAACAAACTATACAGGTATGCACAGTTACCGAGGTTGCTAGCATTTGTGGAGCAGAGCAAGGAAACTGAAATCAAATGTTCTCATTGGTATTTCTACATGTACATACAGAATTGCTCACAGTGCTGTGAAATACTGAGAAAAGAAAATAGAACAGAAATGTTTGGGTTTTGACTATTCTCCATGCATTCCTCTGACCTAACTATAAGAAAGCCAGCTGACCAGCTTGCTCCTACAAGACACACTCTCTTCCTGCTAGTCTCTTACACCAGCTGGCAGCATCTTTAAATTCACAAACACCGGTGACTTGGCCTAAAACAGAGCATGTTGCAGCCTGTCATTGATCTTGTTCACTCTGCATTCCAACACGATGCAATAAATTACCACTGCAGAGAAAAGGATGGAAGAGGCTTAATTGCTACTGCTGCCTGTGTAGCTGAAACCAATTCCTTGCCTAAGTAAAACCGTGTATGTCTGGAAGGTGAAGGAGGGCGTGGGATGATTACGCTGTTTGGTCTACCTGCAGGACAGCTGCTCGGGCCGTTTCTTCATCAGATTGTTCCATTTCCCCGCCAACCGGGTTGTTCCTTTCCTCATACAGTTTCTGGCTAGAAACTTCTAGAGGCATCCCATACTCTTCGTCATCTTCAACAATGGACAGCTCGATGTTGTTGTTCGTCATGGCTTTCCTTTCCATTCTGCCTTCATTCTCTACAGAATCGACAACTGCTTTGCCCTCCTCGGTCAGCGAGGCGGTAGGTGTCATATCGGAGTGCATGTCAGCAAAGGACATTTCATCCTCATTCTCAGCTTGGTCATTGCTTGCAGTTTCTGATGGTCTGTCCTCAGCTTCTGCCGGGCTTTCTCCTTCACGGCTTTTCTTCACGTTGAATGTGAGGGGAGATACCTTGAAAGCAGAACTCTTTGAAGAAGAGGGTTTCTGGTGATGTACAGTAAGCGATTTCTTGATCTTTTCCCTCCGTTCAGGTGACACAATCTTTGTGCTGAACTTGTTCATCTTCTTCTCGATGTTTTGGCGAGAAAATGCTTTCTTGAGGCTGTCTACCTTCTTGAGGCTGGATCTTTTGAGTTTCTCAGCTCTTGTTTCTTCTGTTTTCTCCTCTGCACTGTCACCTTCATCTACCTCATGAAACATTTCGTCATCTGAACCCAATTCCACTGTGTGCAAGGTTTCTTCCAGTGTTTTGTTTTCCTCCAAGGGCTCCTCTTTTCCTTCTGTAATGCTGGGAATAGGCTCTTTCGCAAAAACACTGGCAGGGATCTCATTTTCCTCCTGAAAGAGTTGACAATATTTGAGTTTCAGCATTCACAGGACACAAATTTAATAAACAAAGCACAACCCTGAACAATTACATTTTCTACTCACCATGATAAGATGAAGAATACTGAACATTTCTTGTTGTTTCAGTATATTTAACCAGTAACAAGTCACTCAAAGCCCACTGAACCATTATAAGGTAAAGTTTAAGACTAATGAGCTGTCACTAGTAAGATTTCTCTTTCAGAGTGACTTGGAATATATGCAGAATGGAAATCCCATTCTTTGTCATTTAAATTACATACTCTTTAAAAAGAATTTAGCTGTAAAGTTGTGCACCTGCCCCTGGGGAGAAGGGAGGGTACAGTGGCTAAGGAGGTGGTACTGCAGACCCCTGTGTAGACCTACAGAAGTCTCATAACCCCACAGAACTTAAGTTTCTCCAGCCAAAGACTGAGAATAGCTCTCTAGGGACGTTGATTGCATCTGGGAAGTATCTTAGATGGCAAATCCAGTTAGCACTTTTACCATATTTCAGAAAAATGTATGTTGCTGTTAAAAATGGACCATTGACACAGAAACCATGCAGTCCATGATGTTTAGAGCATATCCTATTTTACAGCTATTTACAGAAAAGAAAAAGCTAGTAAATATTAAAATATGGGCAGGATAACTCTTTGAAACATAATAAATGGTATGTAAAAATAAACAGACATTATACCATATTAAAAACATTAGTAGTCACTTCTAGCTAACAGGAAAACTATTGCTTTTAAGAACAAATCCAAGAAAGGACATGGAAAGAAAGAAGGTATCTGAAAACAAAACAGACTGAGCAAGGGCAGAAGCGGCAACTCGTAATGAGGGATGTCTGTGACTACTGAGCCCAGAACCTTTGCAACCCTGAGCAGTTCAGGGGTAGCACAATGAACACTCTGCTCTGCGGTAGGTTTTGCAAGCATCTGCCCATGCAAAGCAAACGAGGCTCCTTGCACTGTTGAGCCTTATATCCACATAGCCTCTATGCATTACCTTTTTTAATCACTTTCAGACAGAGTATATGCAGTAGACACATGGATTGGAAGGATTTTCTGCCCCCCACTCCCTCCATATTTATCTTTAGATACAAAAAGCAGTAAATGCTGAGTGAAATGGTTGTAATAGTCTCAGATCTGTCCCTAGTGGGCCTGAGTGTACAGTTAAGGGGGAAAAAAGGCCACACATACACTTCCAAGCTCATGCTCATTATCTCAGGGCTGAGAATACAGTTGTGATCACTGCAAAGAATAGAGTACCTTGGGTTAAATTTGCTGTCAAGGCTGGATGAAGATGTTGTACCTGGTTGTTGTTAACAACAAAGTGGTCCTGACTGCCTTGTAGCGCTTCTGGAACTCAATATGCACATAGACAGACAATCGTTTTATACCATATATACACAGTATAAAATCATATATACAGTGATTCAAGTGTGTTGATTAATATTCCTCAAGGATATAAAAATGAAAAGTATGAAAAAAATGGATGGTGATTTGTATATGCTTTACTTCTACTGTTTCTTCACTCCCTTCTTAGCCAGTGGCTTCAGTTGGATATACTGGCACAGACAAAGCTTTACAAACCCTTTGCTTCCAGTGGAACATCTAATAAAGCCTGTGCTCTTCTCCCCACACCTATGTTTTTGCAACTATTGGCAATAGTGACCCAGATAACAAAACAAAGGAAACCTGCACCAGCTTTAAGTGAAACCAGCTGTAACTGCAGTACAAATATTTATATTTTCTCCCCACTGCAGTTAACAAAATGTGGATTACATGAGTGTGCGCAGTGTTGAATTATTCCCCAGAGCACGAGAACTCAGTATGAAGCATAATTTACATGTCTAGTGCATTCTTTCCAAGCCTAAGTAATCACACACAGTTTTAGACATCTGAACATTCAGGTGTAAGTGCCTGAATGGCATAGAAAACTCTGGTTTAAATGAGTAAGAATGGGTTGTAGCTTTTATAGCATTTTATCTAGGAAAGTGCTGTCATATGAATTCGATCACAGTTCAGTCTGAGCCAGGGGTGGACCTGGGCAGCCCTTCTCAAGGTCAGTTTAGTTCTGCCTACAGCATTCACATTAGACTGAAATACTGCATGCATTCTCTAGGAGAATATGGATGTAGATTTGATTTCAATTTTTATCAAGTTCCTGAATGAATAGAAGGGATACTGACAAACTATTCATATTTATAAAGGAAAAGAAACCCAACCAGAAATACAGTACACAATAATGAGCTAATGATTCAATTAAAAGCAGATCCTGGGCAGTCTTTGGCTATTAGACAATACTGACATTCAAGAAATCACCTTTCTAAGCTTCCTATATGGCCCTGGAAAACATCAACCTCTGGGTATTTTGTTAGTCTGCTTGTAAAATGTGAATGACATGTTTTCTTATGTCATATTTCTACAAGACTTTAAGATCACAGGAACTATTAAAATGCAACTGAAAATAAACTAAGCAAAATGCTTTCAAAATACAAGGGTGGTGTAGCAGGGATGCTCTGTGGTGGAACAGACATTTCTATTTCAAACACAGTTACTGATAACATGTTGTAAATGGGCTATTGATAACTTTTTGGTCTAACAAGTTTATATGACAGCTGTGTTTTGTTTTGAGACATTTTTCAAGCAGTCTGGTATTTCATTTAGGAAGACTAGAACAATACACTGAAAAATGCCAGCTGTTACAAACTGCATAACTATTTTCCATGCCAAAAAAAAAAAGTAGAACTTTGATCTTTTCTTCTTGATCTAATCTAAAATTCTAAGAAAGCAACATATCTTTGTATTTTCCACATCTGAGTTCAAAAACAGGCCTTGCATTTTTTATTTTTAGCTTTTTCAGATGGGCTTGCGTATAGGTAGCTAGCTTCTCTGAATTTTATTTTTCCATGTAGGAGATGAATAGACTAGTGGAAGTTCTATGCATAAAACAACTGCTGCTAGTGCTACTAATATTTGCATAGTAAAATCAGTGCCTTCCTTGTGGCTTTGATCAGCCATTCTTGGGAACTTCCTATAGGCCACAATCTCAACCCTATCTTCTACCAGACAAGAATAAGATCCATAACAGTGTACTAGAAAACTGGAAGGCCTGAGTGAACAAGTAGTTAATTTATTCAAAGAGTGCTCAAACTCTGATGCAGCATGAGGGAAATCAGTGTGCTTTGGTTTGGAATTTTGTTGATTTGTTGTAGGAGGCCATGACCTTCAAAAAGGGTACATGGCATCTTCCCAGCCCAGGCTCCTCTGTACTTTGTAGATGCTGCTATGCGCCTAAATGATTACTAGTCTAAAACCTGTTTTGCCACACAAAATAGGTCAAAACATGACCAATCTTTCTAAAACCAGCCAAAGCTCCACCTACTTTCCTTTGAACAAATACATGCTCTTCAGACCTGGATGTCACCAGAGGGATGGAGGAGGGCAGACAGGAAGAAACTGCCACATGCCCATTTGCACATCCCGTGCAGGCTGAGGTGTTGGCTGCACTATCCCCCTGACCTCCCACAGCACAGCTGGGTCAAATCCAAAGAGCCATATGAGGTAATTTTGTCATTAATCAATATAAGAATGTTCTCTCTGCAAGGCTCCAGTGGGAAATATAGTAGTCAGGTAATAGCATTCTCAGCTTGTAATTCTTCTGCTTCCCTCATTTGTTCAGTTTTGAGTTTGAGGTTGCTTTTTCAAAAGATTATTGCAGTGACCCAAACAACAAGATACAGTCTAATGGATAATTTCCTGTGCCCTCCTCTTGCTTCATTTTAGGATCAAGGATTTACCAACAGCATAACTGAAAGGAACTTGAATATTAGTGTGCTTGAACTCAAGCTGCAATTTTGACTTATTTTAGCTGTCCTATTTGCATGACATTTAACCAGTAAACATGACATTTAATTGAAAAATTAAACATGAGCCTTTTTTTGTCTTGCATTTTGCTCTTGCAGCTAAAAAAAGCGAACAAAACCCCCACCAAACCAGGACCAAAAAGCTGGTCATGTGGCGAGAACAAAATAGAGAGGAACAATGCCAAAGCTTAACAAGGATTTTTAAAACAGTCACTTCAGTGTTTTGCTAAATTGCTGTGTCATTTGTAGTAACTTTTGCACCCTCAAAAGCTTGGAATGGAGTTCCCTTAAAATAAGTCACCAATTAAATACAGGTAGACTGTCTAGGGAGAGAAAACTAAGAGCATTTAAATGGAAAATAGGTAAATAGGTGAACTTTTCTAAACAATTCATCCTCAGCATGTATGCTGAGGGAATGCTGATGCTGTTGTGGCAGCATGGCTTCATAAAACGCAGAGCTGGAGCTCAGTCTTGTGTTTTGGCTGCACTCAGTGCTTCCATCAAGTATTAGGAAGTTTAGGGGATATGGTAAATGCAGAACTGAATCACAAATGTGTATTTTTACTTTCATACTGAGCTGTCTTCCTAAGCTGGAGAAGCAGATCCTAATGAGAAACATGCTGTGTGAAATTTGGGATTTTTTTTTTTCCAGTGGAAAAGAAGAATCCCCCAGCTGAAGAGAAGTCTCATACATCCAGATTTCCCTTTTGTTCTTACAGAAATCTGGCATCAATATGGCTTCATTGCTGTGACTTCTCCTTCCTGCAATTGTTTTTCCATGGATTCCTGCTCAGGGCAGGACAGAAACCCAGCCAGCCTTCTGCTTTTTCCTCTGTACAATCATCCTAGCAAGGCGGTGGCCCCACTGACTACTCCTCCAGCTTGAAAGGAAGTCCTGCAGGGAGATTTCAAGGAGGTTGGCATGCAGGTAAGATGCTTGCCCAGGTCAGCAGCAGGTGTTGTGGGCACAGCCTGGCAAGCACCAACCACCCCTCTGAGTGCAGCCACTTCCCAGCGGAAAATCCCAGCTCCTCCCAGTCTCCACTGGACCAAGCCCTGGGCACTGCCCGGCCCAGCCACCCTCCCATGCCCCAGGGAGCTCTTGCTGGCCACACTGGCTTTCCAGACAGCCATGCTGCCAGTTAGCAGCAGGCCACTGCCAGGAGCAATTCCCAGCTGAATTTCTTTTTAACTGATTTTAACTGCAATGTTTCTTTTTAAGGCTTGTGTTCCTGACCTGCATTGGCTTGGGATTGGTTACATTAAGCTTGGCAACATATTTTCCACTGGGAGATGGGAATGGAGTCACCTAAATCCTTGTAAAAGTACTGAAGAACGGACCTGCTGTCCAAAGGTACCAGCCCAGTGACAGGCAGTGGAGAAAGAGGTAGATTTTCTTTAGCCGTTGTACTGGGACACAGACCTGTTTGCTTTGGGTTTGTGCACTATTAGGAGCCAGTATTAATGAAAGGTTCAGAGATTAAATTGGCCTTAGCTTTGCAATACCGTTTAGGGTCAGGAAATGAGCAACAACAGCCCTCCCCTGCCAGGACACTGCTTTATCCCTCAACGCCTTCTTGTGAGTTTTACTGTTGCTTTCAGCCAGTGCCTGCAAATCGCTGCCACTGGGGGTCCCTACCCAAGATAACATCAACCATCCTGCTCACACAGAGCTCTGTCTTTCCTCTCTGCCTTATGTCATCTTAAAATGCTAAATATTGAGTTCTGTGGCATAAGATGTTTGCTGCAACAGCAATGCCTTAATTCTCACAGTCAGAGATACCAGAATTGTTACAAGATTACCTTCCCTCAGGCCTCGCTGATTCACCCACCCCACGGGAAGTGTTCAAGGTCTAGGTCTGAACCTGGAGGCAGGAGCCAGTTATTAGCTAACAGGGCCTGGGTGATGGCAGTGTTTTGACATACAGTAATGGGTCTTAAATTACTTGCAGAACTGCAGAGAACATGTGCCTTTTAATTTACCCAGTCTCTGGAATAATTTCCACATTCCTTCTGGGGTGGAAACATGCCGCAGCTCCTCCTCTTCTGGCCTGACAAGCCTGGACTGTAATTTGGGAGAACAATAAGCAGAAAGGTGGGGGCTTCCTTTCTAGGGGAATTGCCTGTGCACTAACCAGGCCTGCCAGCTTTTAAAAAAAAAAAAAAATCAAGCACTGCTCTGCTGTTTTGGGATGGTTTAAGTAGGAAAAACCCAACAGCCGAAAGGGCAGTTAGTGACTGATAGATGTAACACCCAGCTGACACGTTTAGCATGACACACTGGTGATGAGGCTGCACTGTGGCTGCTCCAGCTCCACGTTCTCTCTCCTTCCCTCCTTCTGTGATTTGTGGAGGTCTGTCTTTGTTTTTTTTTAAATATGTGAAAGTCACGTCCTGTGTTTAGTTAAAGCTCACGGCATGTTCTATCCAGACCATTGCTTAAAAAGGGGAAAATATGCAAACTGCTGCTATCACGGGATGGACTCCCAGGAAGATGAGTTTTTAAGCTGCATTTTTAGCTCAGCCCTGAATGGACCAGATGAGTGGAGCCAAGCAGGACGTGAGGCAACTGGGATCAGTGCACTGCCCCTCTCCTGCTTCCTAGGTCAGCTACAATGGCAGCTTTTAGGGGCATTTTTACGATAAGTTAGCAAAATGGGCTCTTTCCTCAACTTTGCCAAGAGCTTACAAACCAAACCAAACCAAATAAAAAAACATTCTTCAAGTTTGCATAACTCCCCCCCCAAACCACACCACAAAACAACCATTTCACCTGGTATGCTGAATTAGTAAGAGATATCTCTCTTCCCTCATTTGCTGAGAATAAAAGGCAGCTGTTTCCCCTGGTTTGATAAAGTTAGCCAAACAAGGTCTCTTTCCTCAGGGTCACTAGGAGTGAGTAAAAGCTCTTCCTCCAACATTGTCAAAAGTTAGAGAGGGCCCTTTTCCTTTCAGCAGCTTCCCCAAAGTTTGCTAAAAGTTTGCAAAACCCCCCAAACCTAGCTTTTTTTCCTCAAATTTGGAAGAGCAAAAAAGGCACATGCTTTCCCCACATTTGCTGAGTAAAGGTGGGTGTTTCTCCTGAATTCGCAAAGAATACAAGAGGGCTCTTTCCCCAAGTTTAAGAGTTAGCAAAATACTGCTCTTTCCTCAAGTTTGCTAAGATGAAATGAAGGTTTTCCTCCCAAGTTTGCCAAATTAGCAAAAAGTAAGCTCTTTTTTACCCAAGCTACCGAGAGTTAGTAAACAAGTTAGGTCTTTCCCGAAGTCCGCTAGGAGTTAGCGGGAAGGGGCTGAAGTTCCCAGAAGTTGGGCGCAGGCTCTGCGGGGCTCACCTGGAAGATGAGCACCTTGAAGCGATCCCGGCGCAGCAGCTGCGCATGATGCTGCTCGAGGCGCCGCACCTGGTCGCACTGTCCCCCCCAGCCGCTCCCGCACCACGCGCGTGTTCGCGCACACCTTCCGCGACTTCTCCAGCAGCTTCTCCACCGCCGCGCCCGT